ATGATTCTAACTTTTAAATTATCTTATATAATGTACATAGTACATTATTATATGTATTGCAGAATTCTTGTATATTTGAACATATTTGCCAGTTACGTAAATACATAAATTGATGACTTTATTAAGTGCTTTGTGAAATTAAGATTATGATGGTTAGAGAGGTTTGCTGTCTAATTAAATCTCTAAACAATGTTTGCTTTTTGGAGCTAGCTCTCACAATTTGTGTGTTTTCTAACTAATATTCTTAAGTGAATAGATCTGAGGATATAGTGGGTATTTGCTCTAGTGATACAAATAGGAAATCCAAAAGTTAAAAGTAACTTTGTTTTTTACTTATTCAACAATATTGATGTGCCAATCATGAAAATGTGCATTTGTAAAACAAAGTGAATGTGTTTTTCATTTTTATTAATTTATTCAGTATCTACCAAGTGGCATAAATGCCTGGAATACAAAAAAGAAATGTGTAATAAACATACAATGATGTAGATTAACATATAGAATACAAACATTTTTCGTTTGATGCTATGTTGTGTGTTTTGCAGCCATGTAAGAAGACGTCTCAAAGACACAAATATGAATGACTCTTCTGAACAGGTGCCAGGCTTTCCTAGGACAAAATTACAGTAAGCCCATTGCATTCATTTGAAAAATTATTCTTGACTGAATCTTAATATAATTGAGTACTCGTGCAGCTGAGTGAATTTCTCATTTTTGTCTGACCTTTGTTTTTTCGAAAATACATTTTGGTGCTTTCAGAAAACTTTATTCTGAATGCAGAAAGAACAAAAACAAAACTGGGTGGTATTGTGACTCTTGCAATCTCTCTTTTGACAAAACTTCAAATTGTAATCTTCATACTCTTGTTCATGCTGCTGAGAACTTAGAGGAAATTGAAATAATTACAGACATGGCAAATGATTTTTCCAGTGTTCCTAGGAAGGGCATCAGCAGCCAAGATTTATGCTGTCCTAAGTGCACCAAGGTATGCCCAAAAATATTTTAATAATGCACATGAAAAAAGTATTCATTAATATATTTGATTTTTATTTTCTTCCAGAGAGAGGAAACATCAGACTTTAACTCTATTGAACATGATATTTCAAAAGAGATGCAACTATCTCAGCCAACAAATGCTCAGACCAGTTCTTTACCTGAACAACAAATTTTAATTCAGTCAAGCACTAATGCATCTAGAAACTTGAATGATCAGACTGATTTCTTGGAAACTAGAATGGAGACAGTTGATGTAAATGCCGAGGAATTTCTTTCCCCAGAAGATGACCATCAACTTAATTCAGTACTAAATGCTTTTAAATTAGGAGGTACTTATTTTTGTTATCACTAAGTTTCTACAAATTAACACACTTTCTGTTGAAGAAATGTACAGAATAATTATATTAAAGATGCCTATTAATGTCAAGGGTCAGGGCATAAGTCCTGCTCTTCCACCTAACCACTCTTTTTTAAGCGTGACTTTAGATTGTCTGCTATATCTCCAATAGTCAGCATAAAATGCAATCTTATAAAAAGGCTAAAATGACCTTTAATGTTCTGTCTCCATAAGAGCATCATAATCCACAATTTTGTTTCTGCTTTTTCACATATGTAGTGTATAAGCAAAAAAATTGATATTGCTTTGTGTTGTTAGTACTAATACGGATCCTTATTTCTCTCTCTCTCTCTCTCTCTCTC